CAGGCTAGACGCCAGTGACATGGGAGCGGCCCCTGCTTCCGCTAATGGGCTGGCCACAGCAGTGGGCAATTCACTGCCTGGGGCACAGAGCAGAGGGAGCGCAAACACGACAAGCATTTGGTCTAGTGCGTGCAGTTCATTGGGATAAATGAATAGCACACCAGGGCTTGTCCACTGCCAACTCAACTGCCGAGGTCTGGGGCCAGCTCAGCTAGAGCCACCAGCAGCAACAAGGGCGATCCTCTTCACACAGACTGCCCGGGAGAGGAGAGCCACAGGCCCTGGATAACCCAATAAAAACTCAGAAAAAGCAGTGACGTTGGCAGATGTGATTAAACAAAAGCAAAAACAATTTAGCAAATATACTTGGTCGAGAAGTCAGCATTTAGGGTGAATGACTCCAGCATTTACTCTGAGACACAGCCTACCTTTAAATACAACTGGTGAACGGTGGGGAATTACACTGGAGTGGACAGATCTGTGCCCAAGTGTGCACCGGGCTGCACTCAAGGAAGAACTTTTCCATTGAAAAAACAATAGTGTTAAGCGAAATTAAACATAGCTAAGTGCATTTTCTGTGCAATAATGCCATCTTCTATCCATAAAACGAAACCTTTAGTGATAGCTAAAAATGTAATTTTAGCGCTCTCAGGGGTGTTAAACAATGGCTTCTACAAGATGCAAACAGATGGCTAAAAACGCTCTTTCTGACTTGGAGGTTTTACGTTCTGACTTGGAGGTTTTAGGACACTCAGTGAAGGCCGATACAGGACTAAGGCTCTCCTGCAGATAGCAGAGTAACTGCAGATAACCACGGAAGTCACTCAGGACACCAAATTATAGAGTCTATTTAATAATTTCTACTGCCTTCCAGAAGACCTTTAATGTCTTGCTTCAGTATCTGAATCACTGTGGTTTTGAAAATATTATATTATAGCCTAAGAAGTTGCACGTGTGCTTGTCCATACCTAGAATTCTAACAAAAGGAAAACACTAATGAAATTTCAGGCTAAAATAAAAAGTTAAATGAAATCAGAATTAGATTAGGCTCTGAAATAAAAAAATATTTAAAGAGCAGCTAAGGAATTCTCTGAACATTGTACACTCTCTGCGTCCCCCACAACACTAAAAGGAAACAGTGCTTAGCTGCCATTATAGCGTTAGTTTGTGAAATGCTTTATTTTCTATTATATGAAGATTCAAGGGAAAACATTTTTCCTTTTCTATTTTTTTCAGCTCAGCTAACAGCAAAGATAAATTTAAAGAAAGATTTAAAGTGACTTTTTCTTTTTCTCTCTTCAGTCCTGAAGAGAGACTTGAGAGAGAGAAACAGAGAGAGGGAGAGAGAGAAATCACTTCCAAGGGGGGATGGCATGGTACAATCCCTTCTCCTCTATTTTCCTCTCAAGAGTTTGGGCATGGGAACCAGCAGTTAGCGTAATGGCTATGTTGCTGGACTCCCACGTAGTCGACCGCGGTTCGTGTCCCGGACCCGGTGGCTTAAAACTCATGCCGGGCGCGTGTGCGTGCGTGCCCAAGATCCCGAGAGGAGAATGGAGGAGAAGGGATTGCGGCGTGACCATCCCCCCTGGGGGGTGATTTCTCGCTTTCTGTCTCTATGTCTCTCTCTGTCTGTCTGGCGAGCGCACGCGCCCTACAGTGAAAATCTCTCCAAAAAAAAAAATAAATAAATAAATAAAAATTAAAAAAAAAATAAAATAAAATAAAAAAAAGAGTTTGGGCACAAAAGTATATGCACCCAGCATGATTTTCAGTCACCATGTCTGAGACTCAAACCACAGTCAGTCACACTGGAAACCAGAACTTTAACCCCTACACCACCTGCTGGCCCTAAGTGACATTTTTGTAAGGTCCTTCTCTAAGAGAATTGGTAACATGATAGATGGCCTGTTTATTAGGACTAAGTCTGTGGTTGGAAAGGTATTCCACTCAATTCAAAATCAACAAACAGAGCTGTGTAGGTCTGAGTGTTTGGGAGATCCCATGTAGGGACTGGTTTCATTGCCTGGAGTTATATTCCTAAACGGATCAAAACCCTGTTTCCTATCACTTTGGTTAATAAAGATGCTGTTCAATACTCTTCTGAAAGTAATAAATAACTGCCTGATTTTTTTGTATTTAAATTCATTTATTCACATTCGTTCACTGTATATCATTACAGCACACAAAATGAGGTTTTCCATCCAGAATACACTGTATATTGGCTCAGTCAAGCACATCAACATACATGTTATATCGTCAATGAATAATTTCCCATCTCTTGTTTCCTGTATATTTTGCCTGTTTTCTCATCCTTGATTCCCTCTCTCTTACCCTTTGCCATCCCCCACTCCCTCCCACACTGTCTCTGGTATCCATGGTTGCTTCCTATGCCTTTATCCTCCCACCATATTTTATTGATTTACTAAAGATCTTAATCAAAATATTTTCAATAGCAAGCGCAGCTGATACATATATCCATGAACACAAGTCTGACTGTAGGCATAAACCTCTGTGAGTACAATGAACGTACTATAAAGTAGCACCTCGCTGGGGCTATATAGCTTACTACAGTCATCAAATAGGTATTTTTAATGCCTTTTTTTTTTTTTTTTTCAAAAAAAAAAGTTTTAGTTTTTTTCCTGAAACTTTTTTTAACTTAATTAATTTACATTCATTCCCTAAGCATCGTCACAACATACAAAATGTGATTTCCCATCCAGACCATACTGCATAGTTGCCTAATCATGCATGTTATTGTCAACAATTTTCCTTTTCAAATATATATTTTATATATATATTTACCCCTATGTCTGACCCTCTGCCCTTTCCCACCCTCTTCTCACACTATCTCTGGGGTCTACAGTTGTCTTCCATTCCTTTTCCTCCTGCATTTTATTGATCACACAATTTCTTAAATAATCTAACTACTTTCAATAGCAAGTTCAGCTGGTAATTTCAAGAAAAGCAGTTTTGAAATGGTAAGGAACTTTGCTTAAAACTCAAAGCCAGGAAACAGGTTAGAATTCTGTTCAAACAGTAGGTACATGAACCTGTCGGCAGCTCAAGACAGGACACAAATCCTTAAAACCAGACAACAAAGCCTAGAAGAAAACCAGCAATGTTTTAGTCAAAAGTCATAAAATGCTATTTCACCAGTTCAGTCTCATGTACTTAATCTATCTCATGTTGTGGTTCAATCTTCCTGATTGAATTTTGGAATATAACATTCAACTCCAGACTTGTCCCTGTGATTAAGTTGGCCATTTTATAGTTTAACAGGTGAAGTGCTATAAACAGACAGGACTACTTTAGAACACTCTTCTTTCAGTTACACCCCATGATACATGCTATTGCAACACATTCTATATTCATATTTAAGAAGACTGTGTGTGTGTGTGTGTACTGTGTCCACAAGTTGAAAGTCACTGTTACAGTTTAGATTGTGGTTTCTCTCCCAGTGTTTCACACTTTACATTCTGGTCTTAGTGAATGATAATGTGTCCCCTAGATGCACATGTGCTGGAATTTGATTGAGCTGTAAAGGTATTAGGTGAGAATGCCTTCACGGTGTCCTGGATAGGTCTTTGGGTATGTGCAGAGAGCACTGTAGGCTCTGTAATGACGAGACTGCCTGGAGCGGTAAAACTGTGCCATGTACACCCCCAATTCCTCCCTCCGCCTGCCACCCTGAAGGGACATAATGGGAGCACCCTGGAGGAATAACAGAAACAGCCAGGCCTGAGAACTGCTGGTCCACCCAAGCAGAGGGATTGACTGGCCATGTGCTAACCTTACACACAGGTGATAGCCTAAGAGACTCTGCTCACCTTGGGGGAGAAAAGAGCTCTCTCTACTCCCACTTTGCCATTCGCTCCTGGCACTGTGCCCAGAGTACACCACTCCCGGCCACTCTAAGAGACCTGCAGACCTTGGTACCTCAGACTCTGCCCAGAGACTCAGTACCTCCGACCTGGCCTCAGTGCCTGTCCTCAGACCCTTCAGGAAACCTCAAGAAATGGATTGGAACAACATCCTCCACTTGAAGGTAGACACTTGGGAGTCTGGGGACCCATGACTGGCTCTCTGCCTCCAGGGACTGCTCAGGGTGATCAGCTAGCACTGCGGAGAGACACATGCATCAGGGTCTTATCCCGTGTTCGTGGCAGTATGACAGTATCGTTAAGGAAGGGCCTCCATGACTGATTTCTGGTTGGTTTATAAAGAGAAGGAAAAGAGAGTCACATGGATATAGAACCATGCTCTGTTCACAGTTCTGCCGTCTGCCATTCTGCCTTTGGACTTCCCAACCACCACAGTTGTAAGTGAAAATCAAGTACTAGTCTCTAGAGTTTACCCGTCTCAGATATTTTTGTTAATGAGGCAAAAATGGACTAAGACAATCATATATGATATCATTTCTGTTTGACATAACTAACAAAAACATTATACTGTTTTCAGGTCTTAGAAATATAGTTTCTAGTTAATAAGCTCATGATAAATAAGACAGGAAAGAGAAGATACACAGAAGAACATGCATATGCAAGGCAAGAAATTTTCTCTGGGGTCGGCAAGTGGCATAGTAGTTAAGGTGCTGAACTCCTACATGGCCAACAATCGTTCAAGTCCCAGACATAGTGCCGGTACTGGGCATGTGTGTGTGTGCATGTCCTAAGTCCCAGGAGGAGAGGGAACTGTGGCACAGTCATTCCCCTGGGGGGCATTTCCCCCTTTGCACCTCACTGTCTGTCTCTGTCTCTCTCTCCCCGGCAAGCTCACATCTTGCCCTATGGTAAAAGCCTTTAAAAAAAAAAGAAATGGAGAAAAGAAGTATTTTGCTGTTTTTTTAAACTATTGAAGGATAAGTATATTTTAAACCATACAAGTACAATATCAAATTTAGAATAATTATGTCCAAAAACCAACTGCTAACTTATTAAAAATGAACACAAGAAAAGTAAGAATTCAAGAACTTCACGACGGAGTGTCTGTTCTCTTACCCCGCATGTGGTACAGTCGGACGCTATGGGTGATGTGTTCAAAAAAGCAAGTCACTTCCGAATAAATCCTTCCACGCGTCACTCTGACAAAGGGCAGCGCCGTGTAAACATAAGGCTGGAGAAGAAATAACATTTTTAAGAAAAATATTTTGACTTCGAAACTTTTCCAGGAAATGTTTACTATCGTTTCCAAAATGGCAAACCTGTTCCATCTGATAGTTGCAATTTTTAATGAAAAGTCTGAGAATATGCACGTTATAAGAAATGAAGGTCTTGATGAAAATAGAAAATACAAATGCATGCAATTTGACTGCCCGAGATGACGTACATTTCCCCAGCTATAACAATTTCTAATTAAAAGCCTTCTAAATTGTCCACAAAGGTTTTGTTTTTGTTTTTTGGGTTTTTAAATTAGAAATAGCAACTATTCGGTGGCAGTGGCATCTTACCATGCAAACATTTATTATAACCACGGCTTCCTAAAGTGCAGACTGCGGGCAGGGGGCGAGGATGACCACCGGAGGTGAAGCAAACAGGAAGCAGAATTCAGAAACACAATTTAATCCCAGTTAGGTTTACTAAGCAACGGGGCCAAACATTCTGCCCCTTTCCTGGAAAGAACTAGCACAATACAAACCAAATTTACAAACTTGAAAAAAATTACTTGGAAACGGTTGGTTTCGTTTTCATTATTTACCATCTAAATTCAAGAAAATATGGGGGTAAGCACCTAACTTTGAGATGTGGGAGCAAATTTAAAGCACGTCTGAAGAATGACCTCTTAAATGTTAGGTTCCCTAGCTCAATGATGGCTTCCAGTGTGAACTATGTAAGCGGTCTACGATTTTTCAGAATCACATAATTTTCTTCCAATGTACCTTTCTGGCTAAAGAAAAATATGCTGAAGTTAATAAAATACTTAATAGCTTACATAAGTTCTTGTACCTAATTACTGCATAGCTAGAATGTAAGGGAGGAAGATGAGAAACTAAGACAGTGATTTCTGGGGGTCAGCAAGTGGCCAACCATGGTTCGAGTCCCTGCCCTGGCAGCTGGCGAATCATACCAGGTGCATGTGCATGAGTAGCCAAAATGCCAGGGAGAGGAGGAGAAGAGACTGTGGCATGGCCATCCTCCCTGGCGGGGGGGTGGGGAGGTGGTGATCTCCCACTTGCCCCCTCACTATATCTCTCTGTCTCTCCGGCCTGCACATGCCCTGTGGGAAAAACCTTAAAAAAAAGAGGGAAAGCAGATTTCGAGCTCCTGCTGTTTTCTGACAACCTTGGCTGTCTCTCCTCTGATGTTCTCTTATTTTCTCTTTGCAAACATAGGACAATTCTTTCTCTTTGTATCTGACATTTGAGTTATTTAAAGATAACATAGTTTTAAGTAAATTAGTTCCCATTGTCAATAAATTACATTTTATAACACAGCTACTTTAAGAACTGTCAATCAAAACAAAATATCTGTCCAGTGACAGAGCTGGTGAGAATACACAGGAACGCTTATCTTCAGAATCCACAGCCATCCTGGAATGCCTACCATGATCTGCATTTGTCTTTAATTTCTCATGATTTGAAAAACACAAACCAAATCCAAATACACTAGAGTGTTAGTGTGGCCTACACGGCCCCTTAAAATCTATTACAATATTTGATTTCAGTTAGCAGGCTTCTCTGAATTATAGTACAAAGGTAACTTTTTCATGAGACATGTCCCTAGGTAATAAAACAAAACCTAAGGAAAGTCTTTAAATGATTTGGAGGTGGGGAAATGCTATGAAGGTACACAAGCAGGGAAACAGCTGCAAATAAATACAGGATTGACTACACAAAATTTAAAACTATGGAAAGATAAAACGATCAACAAATTAAGTAACATAATTGAGGAAAACTCTGCAACTTAATAGCGTACTTAGAGATCAACAACACAAGTTAATAAAAATATGAACAAAGAATATGAATAGAAAACTCAAGAAAGGAATATGAAAGATAAATGAATGCATTGATATAAAAAAAATTAACCTCATGGGCAAAGGCAAGAATCTTAACAAGGAGTATTTTTCCACTGCTCTATTATTATAGGAAATACTTATAGCTAATTCACAAGTGGCTAGAATGATGTATTAAAGAGTTACTCTTAAAACTGCTGGTGGCGGGGCAAACAGGTGGTGTGCTGGCTAAGGTGTTAAACTCCCTCCTGGCCGACCATGGTTTGAGTGAGTCCCAGACCGGGCAGCTTGCTTTCTTGCTTTCTCTCTCTTTCTCACCCTTTCTGTCTCTTTGATGAGTATATGTGCCCTATAGAAAACTAAAAAAATAATAGTAATAAATTAAATAATCGTCTAAAAAAAACACTGGTAGGGAGGGCCAACAGGTGGCATGGTAGTTAAGGGTTAGGATCCCACATGGCTGACTATGGTACCAGTGAGTCCTGTATCAGACGACTTGCTTTCTTGCTTTCTCTCTCTCTCTCGTAACTGTGTGTGCCATATAGCAAGTTAATAATAATAATACTAATTATTATTATTATTCAAAAAACCAAAACAAACTGCTGGTGTGGAGGGCCAGCAGGTGGCATGGTGATGAAGGAGCTGGATCTCACATGGCTGAGTCTGCAGTTCGAGTCCTGGATCCGGCAGCATGATTTCTCATTTTCCCTCCCTCTGTGCCTCCATTGGTCTCTCTCTGACAAGCACACACATCCTACAGCAAAAATTCAAAAACAAAACCCACTCTGGTGGGGACCCAGCTGTAGCAGTCTGTGCTGTGAAGATGCCGTGCTCCTCCGGCTGGGACAATATGGGAGTCCAGGATTCAATTCCAGGTCAACCAAAATGCTGCAGTGGCAGGTGCCTATAACCCCAGGGAGGCTGGGGGCTGAGGTAGGAGGACCGAGAGCTAGAAGTTAGGTGGGGTGACATAGTGAGACCCTGTCTGAAAAGTGAGTTGGGTGTGGTGGCAAACTCCTGTCCCAGGTAGGAGGCTGAGGCAGAAGAATCATGACAGGGTAAGACACGATCTAAACACAACAGTGAATGTGGGAGTGAATGCTTATGTAGCAGTGCTAGAGGGAAGGTGAGCAGATCCTACTGGAGTACCTACCTACCTACCACCTATCTACCGGAGGAGCTTAAAAGGTTTTGCACAATAAAATACAATGACTCTTCCAGAAAGTTCCTGTGTAGAAATAATCAGCATTGCATAAAGAAGATGCTACAAAGAAAGCTACTGTGATGTTACAGTTGGGAAGAATTGGTAGAAAAAGTATGCAAGCAACAGCAGGAAACTGTGAGACACAACAGTGGATATTAAAATCGCATTCTCAAAAACATAACATCAGATTGTGAGCACTGCTACAAAGGAGAACGGAAATACACAAATGCAGTTAGACAGAGATTGAGAATGGGCAAAGAGGAATATCTATTTTTAAAAAAAGACAATAAAAATACATTAAAATGCTGGCAGTGGATTTCATAAGGTTGTGGACTAGCAGGTAAATTCTGTTTCTCACAACTTTCTGTGTCTTAAAATGCTCCAGAGTTTGAGTATACTAAACTTTATACTCTAAGTGGAAAAAAATTTCTTTTTTAAAGGACTGAAAGTTAGGGAGAAGAATGGGCCAGTGGACGATGGATGGCTAGATATTCTGTGTCTGTAACACGTGCTGCCTGCGAAGGCACAAAGCGGCACCTCCACCTGAAGTCAACCGAGAGTCTTTCATGAAGACCCAGCTCAGCGCGGCCTTCTAAATGAATGCTAATTCTCGACAACTGTTTGACGTTCAACTACAAACTGCTACATATCAACAGGTGATACGACACTGGAGCCAACAGTACATCTACTTCTAATCGATGAACAGATGATCAAATTAAATACTTCTAAAATTAAAAAGAAAATGTTATAGGATGCATGTGTTCGCTAGAGAACGACAGAGACAGAGAGAGAGATGGGGAGGGAAAGTGAGAAATAGCCCCCCGGAGGGATGGCCACAATCCCTTCTCCTCTCGGGATTTGGGCACGCATGCACAAGGGACTGGAGAGCTTTTCAAGCTGCCAGGAGAGGCCGTTCGTTCCTCGCTGTTCTTTCAGCAGGCACTCCGCTTGCTGTGCATTGGCACCTTACCTTAGAACTCCCATCAGGCAAGAACAAGTAGGCACCACTTTTGTCTCTCTTATTTGTGGTTCCATACCACGAGAATTGCAAGTTTACTTCATGGTGTTTGCCATCTTCTTTAGTTATTATTTTCTAAAAATTTAGAAAAGAGAAATTAAAGCAACTCGTGACTAAGATGTTAATCATATTGCACCTGGTTTCATGTATGTGCCCATTAGAAAATCACCTCAGGGTAGATTTAGGAGTACCAGCTTAAGTCTCAGCTACCACGATTCCTGGTTGAACACTCAAAACTTTCTACTTAGTCTCGGGACTTAAAAACTACACAATGAAATAGAAGTCTGAATATACAGCATTAAGGAACAAAGAGATGCCCAAAATCAGGAGTTCTAGACCAATGTTCTCAAACTTCCCAAAGAAGGAATAAGTTTATCTTTTACTTCTAAGAGGCAAGAATGAATATTTGTGTAAAGTATGAAAAAAGTAAATAGAAATTGAATTTAAAGTGATTATCAAACACTCAAATGTTTCAATATTAGATTCAATTAACATTCCGTCTGTCAAACTGCTCCCCGAGTTTCCATGAGCATTTCCAGACACTCCTGATTTTGTAACTCTGAGCCCTGTCTCCTGGGAGCAGCCAGTGGCCACCGAAGGCACGCAGAGTTGTCGCCCTCTTTCCTTCCAGAGTACCTTGGGAAGACGCTGTACGTCTTCATAGCCAGCACCTGCTCGTGTCGGTAAGTGATACGCTTCCACGGCTCTTGGAACTATTCAGAACCTACCTTCATAAGCCCAGCTTGGCCAAACTGAAGGGTCATATAGGGATTCTCCAGAGTGATGTCTCCTGGAGCACCTCTCATGTTCTTTATGCTGAAAATTCCTTTGATTTCCGTTTCACTATTATACAGGAAATAATTGGCTAAATGTGACTTGGAACTTGCCGATTCCAAAATCTTATACACTTCCAGTCCCAACGGTGGTAAGTGTGCTAGAAAAGAGATCTTTAAAAGGAAGTTCATTAGAGACAAAGGTCAACTTCTGAAAGGCAAGTCAGTTTTACTTTTAGCAAAAACAATAATCATAACGAGAATATAATAATATACTATAAATGTTTGATAACGTATGGGTGGAGTATCCAGATCTCGGTTTATCCAGGGAAACTAAGAACCTCAGGCCTGCAGGCCTACCAAAGGCAGCAACGCCCCACCCGGGTGGGAAACACCACCACCGTCCTCGGCTGCTCCAGATGCTCTTCCTACTGGATGCTGAGAAGTGAGGACTCTCCACGAAGGTAAGGGCGGATTGTATCTAACAATGACTCCAACTACTAAGGGCATTTTATAATACTATAATATCTCAGGATGCTAAAGAGGTCAAAATAATCACATAAATATTAAACGTGTTAGTCTGATCAGCCCCAGCCATGAAATGCTTGATGTTTAGCAGACACTGAACAAGGCATGGGAGGGTGCACGGTCTCGGAGGTGAGCCTTGGCTTCTAAGCAAGGGCTGCTGTCCTTTTGTGGGACTCAGAGTGGTATCCCACTTTCCCTTTCTAGCGAAAGTACACGTAGGAGCAGTCAGCAACAGCTTCTGCAGCAGAAGCAATTCCAGTTCACATCCCTGTCTGTGGAAGTACAGTTAAAACTGCATCTCACACTCTCCAAGCTTTACCTTTCTACTGATATGAGGCTAAGCTTAATACTGCTTATTGTAAGAAACTTTCACACACAAAAAGATCTATTACTTGAACTTTGAACCCAGACTTTCCATAATTATATCTCAGAAAAGCAGCACTTTCATTTAGAAAGTCTCTCTTGTGTGATGTGTCTTCTTGCCTTTGCAATGAAAAATTGAAATGACCCATAATTATTAAGACAAGTGGTATTTACCGCAATTCCAATATGCATAATGGCATTAGGTTGACAGACAAAAAGATCCAAAATTATGTAAATAATCATTTCTTCATTACTTCAGAATAAAGTTAACAATGCTCACACACTACCGACATGCTGATAACCACACACAGTATGCACACTGACACGGATGTTCACAGGGTCTGTTCTCCTTCAGGGGCCCTGAACCGGCCAGCTAATCGCTCTAGTATTTATGACTTTCACTGCTTCACATTTGCCAGAGGACAGTTCACGAGGCCACGAGGGACTGTTATGTGGGGTTGTTGGGAAAGTCAGGGTGTATGTTTCTGTGCAAAAACGTGTCATGACTTTCCCAACAACCAACACATGGAAACGATACACTGGCCAAGCTCTTTTGACGACGCCTCCTCTTCCCGTGGCACGACGTACCTCATAGGCTGTCTGGGAAGCAGTGCTTGCCGCATCCCACACCGCGCTGATCTGGATTTCCACCGGTTTTCCAGAGGCAGAGAGCACTTGTACTGTGGGGGAGCTCACGTAGACGGAGACCACCGAGAGTCGGTCTTGTTCCAGAGGGTTAAAGACCACGAGGTACCTGCAAAGACAGCTGCTTCATTACTGGGATCTTCCACACTCTTCGTAAGACTTCAGCTACAGACAGAGCCAACACATGGTGAGGAATTCAAAGGAACATCCTGATGGTGCTTTTGAAGAACAGGCAATTTGCTCACAACCACCACCACAGAGCAAAAGGATAATGAAATAATGATGTGAAAGCACTTTTCAAAGAATAAAATGGTTTAGAAATGGAAAACACTAATAGACTTGCAAGATAACTTTTTCCATATCTCAGAAAATGACTAACATAAATACGGTTTTATCCACCTGTCTGAGAGAACTGGCGCTAGGCCACTAATAAATACCTTGATTCCCGTCTAATCTCACTAAATAAAAACATGATAAGTTGTCTTTTTGCAATTTAGTCACAATTAATTCTAATGAAAGCTGACATTCATTTTAGACCATGAAAACAGGGCAGAAATGCACGGCTACAGATGCAGAATCACACTGTATGCTGTATGTTCTTTCCAGGGGACGTCACTGCACAAGAGTCAATTCTAGAAAACAAGACGCTTGAAGCGAATCAACTTAAAATAGAGACGTATTTTATAATAAATACTGGTGAAAAAAAGTTCACTGGGACTTAAGTAGAAAAAAGGAAAATAAAAGTTTTTAAGCTAGGACCAGTCCTAGAGCAGTTTTTACATGCTGTGCAGAGGAAGCCAGACCCTGCATGGCTGACCAGAGTTCGAGCCCCAGCCACAGTAGACTGAAAGACAATGTGTGTGTGCAAGCCCAGGATCTGGACAAGATGGAGACCTGGAGGAGAAAGGGCTGTGGCGTGAATAAGCCCCATCTGGGAGTGCTCTCCTTCTCTTGTGTACCCACAGAATTTTCCCAGTATTTTATATTAGCATACTTAGACATCTTTCACTTAACATTTCACTTCTACAGAATAATTTTGCACATAACTGTATTTACAGAAAAATATTTAAGGACCTCATCAATTTTCCTAAAGTCCTCTATCAATTATCCAATATTCAAGGAATTCTCCGCTCAAGTACCTAACACCCTTGATTTTCTCGTGAGCGTAATTCTGCCAGATCTCTCACTGTTTGATGGCTCTGCCTATGGGGAGAAATGTTCTAGACCAATGCGCCAACCTCAGGAAACCTGCACCCCTGCAAAGATTTATCATGTTAGTTTACAATCAATTGGCATATTATCTTCAAAGAAATCAAAGATACTTCAAAGACGGTATTTCACTACTAACACAAGCACTGATTTACTAGTGAATATGTTCATGATCTGGAAAGTTTTGTTCCCACATACAATGCTGGGACCGCAGGAACACAGACCCGAGTATGCAGGCTAAAGACAGCCTTTCCCCAGACCTGGTAGCCACAGACTGCAGAAGCAAGCTAGCATCTGTCTATTGTAATGCACCAGAAAGCCGGTCAGTGTTCTTTCATCTTGAAGATGTGTCCTATTTATTCTTGTTTTAATTTGCATTACAAATCTTTCATTAAGAAATAACATGAGCACTGGTAGTGGCCAAAATTAAAGTGAAGGACAACAGGAAAGAGGAAAGGAAAAGGAAGAGGGCCTATCACAATGCCACATTTGAATTTTAAATTGTTCATCAGGAGAATCATTTATGAGTTAAATAATATTCTAAGATAACAAAGATGACATATGACAATAAGAATGTCTCTAATTCCACGTAATGGCTATGTCGCTGGACTCCCACATAGTCGACCGTGGTTCGTGTCCCGGACCTGGTGGCTTAAAACGCACGCCGGGCACGTGTGCGTGCGTGCCCAAGATCCCGAGAGGAGAATGGAGGAGAAGGGATTGCGGCGTGACCATCCCCCCTGGGGGGGGGTGATTTCTCGCTTTCTGTCTCTATGTCTCTCTCTGTCTGTCTGGCGAGCGCACGCGCCCTACAGTGAAAATCTCTCAAAAAAAAAAAAAAAAAAAAAGAATGTCTCTAATTCCCATCAGGCTCTTAGTCTATATAGAGATAAGAAGACCTAGCCTGCAACACCGATGTTCATTGAGACTTGCTATTTATACAAGAAAAAACAGATGTAGAAAACAGTCATGAAAATATTTACTGAGAGTTCTGAAACCTCCTCATGCTAGGTGAAAGCCTATTTTACTCAGAGAAACATTCTAAGAAGAGTGAGGGCCATGATCTCTGGAGGGGATGCTCCACATCTTACCTGACCACAACCCTTTTTCCTCCAGGGGATCTGTCCCTGTTTGTACCCTCCGACAACCCTCCTCCACGAGCTGACATTTCATCTGCCCACTCTCCCATCACACAGACACCTGGACAATCGCAACTGCCAGGACTCCCTGATACTGATGGGACTGCACCGTGTCCCCACAGTGCACTGGGAAGAACAGCTGGAGGCCACCCATGTTCTGCACCAAAGATGTTCAAACCAGAATCTCAGAAATAAGTAATTTACAACTGAAATCTATGTTCCCAGAGGCTTAAAGAGCTAGTGTGTGCAAATGAAAACAAAAACAAAAACAAAACAAAACAAAAAGACTAGAAAATTCTGGCCAATTGGAAGACTTAAGCCAATCTCCAGGTCCTGCAGAAGTCTGGGGACAGGCTGGCACCTGTTGCATGCTAACTCTAGAATGCCCCAGGCATGTCTTCTGGATGCTCCGTTACACTGGGCTGGTCACAAAGGCCACGGCAATTGAACAGAGTGTGTGCCCAAGCAATAAATTAGGTAATAAGCATCCAGAACATCAGTTTCCTTCCACAGAAAGAAAAATGACTCACACTTGAAGCAAATAATCATTTTAACCATACATTTAGTTTCGTACCATATTAAATCGCTATTTATAATAAGCTGGGAACTAGGTTCTGTTTTGTTTCATTTTAGTAGCTAATTAGTATTTGACCATAATGATGTTTCTACTGTACTGAATGATTATGCAATTATCATGCCAGGAATCTATTCAAAAACTAAATGCGTAGAGTATATAATGAGTATAATGCTGCACTAAGAAAATAATTTTTAACATAATTAGAGATTCACAGCGTGTTCTTCAAGTGCATCAGAGTACAAATTTATCTAACACATACACACTCCAACCCATGTAGATTTTAAACGGAGAAAAGTATGATCATATATAAATCTTATCTTCCTTGGAAATAAGTATGCCATCACAATTAATCAAACGTCTACAACACCATATCCCCAAACACGAGTCCTTCCTAAGCTCTCAGTTGTAAACACAACCACGAAGTTTCAGTATTACACTGAACATCATACACACTTACTGAAAATTAACAATACTTGATATGCACTAACAAAAAAGTCACATTAATAACCTGAAATGATTAACTTCCATTTTACATTGGAAGTGACTATAGAGGAAGTTCAGAATTTTTCTTATCCCTTCTCCAGTTTCCCCCACATTAGCATCAGGTTCCTATCTATAGTCTGCCACCCAGCCCCTGGTTCTCAGTGTGACACCAGACCCCCATAACTTGGGGTTATGAGCAACTACCTCAATTCTATCCCCCAGCAGGTGGCATAGAGGTTAAGATGCAAGACTTCTACATGGCTGACTGCGGTTTGAGTCCCTGACCCAGTGGTTTGAAAATTACAGTGTGTGTGTGTACAGGTATGTGTCTGAAATTCCCAAAGAATGGAGGAGAGGGGACTGCAGCATGGCCATCCTCCCTGGGTGGTGAGTTCTCACTTGCCCTCTCTCTGTCTTTCTCTGGCAAGCACATGTACCCCATGACAAAAACTTTAAAACAAAATAAAACAAAACCAAAACAAAACTCCACATACAGGAGAACTCCCACTTCCTAAAGAAAAAGCTCTCATATGTTACCTCCCAATAAAAATTAGAGGGCAGAAGATTATCTACTTTAGGGAACCAGCAGATGGCGTAAGTTACGTCACTGGACTCCCACAGTACTGACTACAGTTCAAGTCCCAGACCTGAGGACTTAAAAACCAGGCTGGGCACATGTACATGCATGCTTAAAATAATGAGAGGAGAATGGAGGAGAAGCGACTGCAGTGTGGCCATCCCGCAGGGAGTGATTTCTCACTTTCTGTCTCTCTCCAGTGAGTGCGTGTGCCCTATAGCAAAATCTCTCTTTAAAAAACAAAAACAAACAAAAAACAACAAGATGATCTACTTTGGCTGGGAAAACAAGGAACGGAGAAAAATGATGGGATGTCTACATGCTCATGCCTAGTTGCGAATCACTTTATGGAAGATCTGCAATTCTACCATTTACAGTAGAATGTCCTTGAAGAGTCTACCAAGGATGAAAATACCCAGAATGCCTTCCCCCCTTGACAGAAATAATTCACGTCACATAAGCAAGGACAACCGTGGCCATCCCTGCATCCATCTTTGAGGCAAGTCTGATCGGTGCCCACCAGACCTGAGCCAGGCCTACGCAGGCTTCCTGCTGGGACTGAGAGACGAGCAGAGGGGAAGGAATGTGCCCCTTGGCTTCTCAAACCACTTGGAGGAACTCAGAGCTGCCACTCACAGAACACTTCCTGTGTGCCTGGCCAGTCCTCAGGGCTGTGAGGACAACACAGTGGTGCAGACTTCCATCCTTCCCACTGGACACACAGAGAAACTAAGACTCGGCATGGCAGGCAAGTGGCCAAAACTCCCCCAGCTGAAGAAGTGTCCCAGCGGGGCTGAGAACTCAGTGTGGTCTCCAGAGCATCTTCTCAACGACCGCCCTTACAGGACAAGCATCTAAACTTCTGACAGCTGGGGTTTCCTGTGGAGACCCTCTTAGTTCCAAATGAGTACATGAACAACTTTTTCCTGAGCAAACCAAAGATCCCCCCAGAGCCTCTCTCAGGAAGCTCAGGATGAACAAAAAACTATTTACATTGCATGTACATCATATCTGTGAGAGAAAATTTATAAACTGGAACACTGGAACAGAAAGATACATCACAGGATGCACTAAGAAGTGCGCCTGTCACATGGCTTCACTGAAATAAGCAAAAACAATATTTG